TTATATTTGTTAAAATTCTCTTTACATACAGACAGAAATCAATAAATTAAATTTTCTGAAAAAAAAAGAAGCAGTCACAGGCCTGTAATGAGCGCAGCCAATCTTTTCATTCAAGCCATATATATTGCTGAAGCTACCGAGAGCGTTGAAGAATGGCAAAGAAAGAGCAGCCAGAATGTATAGTTCCACTTTTACCTACAGTTTGCACTGCTACACAAAGCAAGAAAATAAACACAGAAGTAAAAAAGACTACGAACAAAAAGTTTGGATGAAGCAACAGGTCAAACCACAGTTTCGATGATGGTGAGAACTGAGGTAGAAGAACTGCGCATGAATGAGAAGAGAGGTAGTTGCGTTGCGTATAGACATACGTTACCTACCCTAGCTTTAAACTACCTGCCCAGAACCAAAAGGCAGATAAAGTTAGCGACTAGTTGGTGACCCCAGTGGAGCATTTAGCTGCTAAAGAGTCAGATATTTCTCTCAGGAATTGGTGAAGACCGAGCCCCCAGAAACAGCGCCAGGCTTTGAAGCCAATTTGACATGGTGGCCAAACCGTATAATGACAGCAATGGCGTCCATCACGTGATGCACATTGTCCCCAAAACCCTTTGTTATAAGCTTACACTGTGACAGAAGCGGTTGTAAACTGGTGCATAATATTCGCTACTCTTGCAAAATGACTTTTCAGATTAGAATTTGAATTGGAAAGTCTAGAAGACCCACACATATAAATCATTATATCCCCATTTAAGTTAGCAGAGGGCGAAACCAGACGTTAGCGGGCTCGGCTGGAGGAAGAACGGCCTCCAATGCTTTGTCCAGTTCTCCATTACATCCATAGTGAAGACCAAAAACCAACTAAAAGAGGAGTAAATATTGGACCAGAATTATGACTACAAATAAATGCTAATGTTGCTCTATGTCCGCTAACTGTGTAAATGGAAATTGTTTGCTAAACATTAGCTATATCAACTTTTAAGGTAATAATGTCAATGGTGTGATTTCAGCCTTTTGTCCTGCACTCAAGTGCCCACAACTCATTGCCCAACATCAGTGTTGGACCTCCCTAATGCTCTTGTGGGAACAAATCTCTGCAGCCAGGAATTCAAATTTTGTAGAAAGCCTTGTCAGAAGAGTGGAGGCTGTTATAGTAGAAGATGAATTCCCATGTGTTAAGACAGAGATGTTTCAATCAATCACATATGGGTTTTGATGTTTAATGCTGTCCATGACAAGTTCACCCATATAGAGTAGCATGGTGACTAAAAATTACAAATCACTGACAAATTCCAAGGTTGGCATGTTGATTTTTCTCTCACTGCATTTACTGAGGAAATGTTGCCTTTGTTTAAGCCACCCTTTATATCAGTTATTGTATTATAATAATTTAGTCATAGGTTCATTTGTACAGCGATACAGCGATGTGGAAACATAATTTTGCAATGGTTCATTAGGCCTAGCAACACAAACAATCAGACAGGTTTTAAACAAGCCCCAGTTTAACTATACTCAACTCTGGAGTCCAGCAGAGGCACCAGGTCGGCAGATATCAGCAATGAAACAGATGGTTAAATTACTATCATAATCAACAGGAATAATACAAAAATACGAGTAACAGTATTTGTGTAGAAACTGAGCGATACCTTGTTATGTGCATTGCTGAGCAGAGACAATATTCTGACTGTGCCAGTATACTTTGCAGCTGTTTGTCTCTGTGTGTATTAAAAATGCTTTTAGCACAAATGTGTCAGTTTGAGGCTTGACAGCATAAATGATGCAGTTCGTCACTGTCACTGAAAATTCTCTGATCAGGCGCCGCTTGTACTATATATTTGACACATGCTGGCACCTGTTAGACCATTACACCTGTAATCACCATGTTTATGTTCTTGGGTTTTCAATCAGACCTCACATAAGTATCAATTAATTTTATTTCATGAATGATTTAAATTATACCTTACCATCTAAACAAAATGTTTTTTTTTAAATATTCTAGAAACCTTTATATGGAAGGAAAAAAAAGGCCACAAGGATTTGATTTTTATAAGCAACTGAATAGTAAAGGTTCAGTGTGTAACTGGTCCTTTAAATGTGAAGTCTAATTGCTACTGAATATTTACTGTAGTGGAAGCTGTAAACAGAGCAACAAACAATCGGCTTCCTTTGAGAAAGTACTGGCAGCCTTGGGGGTTGGTCCTAGGGGTGGCGCAGCGACAAGCAACTGTTCTTTAAAGAGTTCTTTAAACAGTTGGACTACGTTATATTGTTCATTGATCTGGTTGGTTGAAATTCGCCAACGATAGATGTTGATAGACAGATGGTTCATCCAATCACCAGGTTTTTTTTTCAAAAGGTGCCTGCCCTTTTCCAAACACTTTCCACTGACAATTTCCCAGATCGTTATGTGTAACAAACCATCTAGTGCAGTTCGGTTAATGCAGAGCAACATTAGAATCCACTTATTATTTGGGAAGATGGTCCTGAATTGTGTTAACAATCAGAAGTGGGCGTTCAGTTACAAAAGGTTGAGAACCTGCTGTGATGAAACAGACACTAAATATATCGTTATAATATATATATATTTTTGGTTAATTTTTGCCTGACGTGATAAACTGAAAGAAGCTCTTGATCCTTAGAAAATTGCCTCCTGACCCTGTCCACAAGGAGGCCAGAGATCAGACTCAACAGCAGCCCTGCAGCTGATAAGGCTTCAGTGTCTCACTGAAGGACACTCGAGCAGAGTGGAGGCCATTTGCTTGGCTCCCTGCTCATGCTGTGCCACAGTGCCCACCCACCCAAAAAAAAACTAGTCTAGTCTAGTTTTTTAAACCAGGAAATATTTACAGGGTTTTATTGTGTTGTAATGTATGTCTATGGAGTCAAAGTTGTAACAGTTTTATACAGCTGCTTCATCAATCAGGACACGTTTGCTGTAAAAAAGAATTGGAACATTTGGACCAGAAATCTGATGTTATTGGTGTCACTTGTTTATTCACGGTGGCTGATGGGGTGAAGGCAGTGATAAAGATGTTCCACCTTTGCTGATTGAGGTGAGTGCTGGAAACAGTGCTCGCTGATTGTTGTTTAAGAGCCAGTTTCGTTTTGTATTTTCCTCCTAAATGGAAACGTACTCTGCCTGTGCACCAGGTGGATTTTCAGCCAGTGACCATAAAAACCACCTGAAAGTAATTTGTGTATCCCAGCCATCAGCAGTTCTGTGAAACAAAAATCTTGCCTTGTGCAGCTTTAGTCTTATCTCTCAGAGTGTGTGTGTGTAACAGAGCTGTGTTAGTGTGCTCACTGTGACTCTTACCGAGTTGCCTTTGCTCTGCGTGAGGCTGTGGTCCTGCTGCTCGGGTGTGATGGGGGAGGACTTCAGAGGGGGGGAGAGGGTGAGGTCCCGACGCAGAGGCCGTGAATCCATCTTTTCACCCGGTCTGTCCAGCTTGTGCACCTCTTTACCCGCCTCCCTCCCCTCCTTCCCCTCCTTCCCCTCTCTTCCTTCCCTCCCCTCCCTCCCGTCGCGGTTCTTATGCCTCTGTCGTTGCACGGTGTGCGAGCACCCCTCTCCGTGAGCATGACTATGCCCGTGCTTCTCCTCCCCGTGCCCATGGGGCTTGTGGGTAGTGGAGTCTCTGGGCTGTAAAGGCTTCATCTCCATCTCATAATTGCTAATTTTCTCCTCATCCTGCTCCAGCAGCCGGCCTCCCCTGCTGTGCACGCCCCTGTGCCCGGATGTCCAAGAGGCAGACGAGGACGACTCCGTCCACCTGTCCCCTCTGGCTTGTCTGTGATTGGATGATCCGTGCTCTCGGGACTTGTGATTGGAGGAGCTATGTTTGTGTCCGTTGGTTCGGCTCGCTCCTCGTCCACTGATCCCAACTCCGCCTTTTGACAACACCCCTCTCCTCTTGTCCTCACTCCAGCTGTTGGCCCGTGGGTACTCGCCCTTCCCTCCTCCGCCTTCACCTACCCTGCTTCCTCCCTCCATCAACACTTGGATCTCTGTCTGCCCTCCTCCACCACCTTTCTCACCCCTTTCTCCTCCGTCCTTCCCCTTGTCCCCGTGGTCCACTGCGCTCTGCCGATGGAAACGGGCACTCTTGCTGCGCTGGGATGGCCGGGCGGGGGGAGGTGGCGTGTGTGGTGGTGAGGAAGAAGGGGGACTGAGGTCTGGGGTTGCAGCATCGTTGGAGGGGTCGTCGGAGCCTGCGCTCTTTACGTAAAGGTCGGGGCTGTCAGCGGTGCCGGCGCTACTCGACAACCCCTCGCCCTCCACCTCGCTGGACACCTGGCGTTTTGGACGCTGCACCTCCATGCCTGCAAAAGACAGATGACATCAGAAAGATGATTCCATGCTTGTTGGCATTACACTGTCATCGCCGCTTTCTCGTACAGCCAAGGAGCACAAGCACCATCCATGTGGCTGCTGATGGACCTGAGCACTGTAGTATTTCCCCCAACCCCCTTAGACCTGCGTTATATATTTTATTTAGTTTGTTGAGTTGTGTTCTTACATTATCCCAAATGTTCCAACAATGTTCAAACTAAATCACTGTATTCAGGTAACGCTGCGTTTCACCAGTTGCCTTTCAATGCTGTCATATCCCCTCTGCGCATGCGTCAGCGTTGTGGTTGTCCGCTGTCATAAATGTAAGTTTTTATCAAGATTTAAGCCACATTTTTACAATATACTTTTTATATGTTGGTGGTTTTTAACTCTATAATTTAACCGGATGAAGGATTTTAGTCATTGCACGTCCGGCTCTTAAGTTATGAGAGAAATAAGCTGAGCTAACGTTATCTGCCAGACAGAGTTGGAGAGGTAAAGACAAGGTAAAACTGCTTTATTCTGAGTTTTTACCAGTTTTAATCAGTGGATGAATACTGAAGGAATCCTAACCGGGAGAAGAATAAACTTCGTCTTTTGTTATTGTTTTGATGTGAGAGACCCCTAAGTGGCAGAAACCCACCTTCTACCACCCCAAATAATTTGTTTAAAGTCCCTTAGTTTTTATCTGTGAACAAATTCAACAATAGGGTGCACAATGATGTCCAGGATGTACGTATCAACACAAACATGTTGCAAAATGCCAGCACTGATTCTTGTTGACATAGATGTCTTCACAATAACACGGAGTGTTTTTTTTAGCTGTGTGAGAAACAGACAGCCACTGAGAGCAGAATAGATGGCAAAAGAACAATCGCTGTCATCTCAGGTATCTGTGTGTGGGAGTGTACAGTACATGTCATGAAGTCAGTGTGTGTGTGTGTCTGTGTGTGTTTGTCATAGTGCTTGTGGGTTGGCTACCTGCAGTGCTGTACAGGTGTGAGTGACAGAGGCAGAAACGCAAAGCTGGAGGGAGGTTTACGCTGACCTTTATCACAAACCCACACACACATATACACACACATGCATGTGTGTTTCGTTGTTCATGCATGTGTACACACACGTGATATTCCATATATGTCAGGTTAGCTGGGTTTGTAGATTATAGACATATGTGGCATATGGGTATATACTGTATGTATGTTGTGGTTTTGGTGAGAGTGGGTGCCCACCATTTCCTGGGTGCTGGAAGGAAGGGGAGAACTGCTTGGCTGTGACCCTTGCCATGCGACTCTCCTCCTGGGCTTTCTGAGCTGCTACTACTGCTGCCTCCGCTTTACCCTGTGCATGAGCCGTCCTGAGAGACAAAAGACAGAATGTACAGAATATGATAAATACATCCAACTCTTAATATTTTAAAATAATAAAACAATAGAAACTAAATCATCAGCAGTGGTGTCCAAAACTAATTTCTGTAAGCAAGAGGTACAGCGGGTTGGAAGGAGATAATGAATTGTACTTCAAAAGAACAGAACAGAATGGAAAAATACTGTCCTAAAATACTGAAGGTATAATAAAACACAGTAACTGACCTTTTGTAATAGTAAAAGTGCCAACAGTGCACCGGAGTATTTCAGTTTTTCACTGATATAGGGGAATTTGTGGTCGAGCTCTGATTTATTCAGTACACATAAGACCCTCAGATTGCAACTAGTTCAACTCCATTACCATTGTGTTGGCTTCTGGTGTTTGCTGCCCAAAGGGTAATGGGATACGTTGCAACCCAATCCTTTGATGGTTAAAAGAAAAGTTGAAGTTCAGGAAACTGTGTGCTAACTAAGGAATCTGTTTATTCTCACAATTTTCTAACCTGAAAACAGCTTTTTAAAGATGCAAATAAATCACTGTTTTATGTTGCTGTAAATCCTGAGTTCGGCTGTGTTAAAACATAGTAGATCAGAGAGAGCATGAGGGGACAGAACAGCTGAGAGTAACCGGACTGTCTGTAACACTCCTCATCAGTTAGCTGTGATGCACAGTTTCCAGTTTTTAGAGGACGAAATGCAGCTGTTTTCATTGCATTTGGGTGTTTAAGTGTGGTTGGAAAACTTTATGAAAACAACCAGAAAACAGTTCCTTGCTGTGATAAAATGCCGGGACCGACAAGGCTGTTTTTTCATGTCTGTAGCCTGATAATCAGACTGAATTGCCATTTTGTTTCACTTCACTTCACTTTACAGTCCAGGTGAAATGAAAAATGTCATTTTAACCCTTTAAGATTTTATCCTCAACTTTTTGCGACACGGAGCGCAGATTCATTAGTGAGCTAGCAAGCAACAGCATAGCTAGCTACCGGAGTGTTTCCGGGGGGGCCGGGCCTCACTGTTAAGTGTACAAAGACACAGTGATTTGGGTGAAACTGGAGGAGCCAAAACCAGGAAAAAAACACCTCAGTATTTTATTCCCTGTCATCAAACTGTCCTCCCTTCACCATTGGAGGCTGTATTCGTTCCCAGTCTGGATCCACTATAGCTGCTACTGCGAAAAGTCCCTCCCTACCTGCCACCAGCATTATTTTCAGCTGAAACAGATGCAGCGGTAGCGGTTGCTGGAAGCAATTCAGGTTTGATCTAAGGTAGCTAGCTACAGATGACCTTCCCATCCTTAATCGCAGCCACTAATATCTGATTGATCGACTGTTTCTACAAACAGCCGTACCGGAGCACAACACCGGACTCATATGAGTGAGCAAATCTGAGATGTGAGCAGTGATTTAGATGAACCACGATTGTGTCAATGTAGTTTTAATGTGAATATGTTGTGTTAAATTTGTCTCTCATCTTTGCCAGACATTATTTGAACAAATTCGTCATGATAGGAAAAATTTTATTCTTTCATTTCAGTATATAACACTTTGGGGAAAACGTTTGCAGGCCCTAGCAACACTGGAAATAATCTAAATACAATCATATCACTGTTATGCCATATAAAACATTAATTCTCAGCTATCATTATTAAAAGAACATGCAGCATAAAAAACCTCATTCATATCTGAGTTATCAGTCCTATTATGACTCATAAAAGACACCTGAATCAGGGGGCGAGAAACACACAAAGAGAGACAGAAGACCGTAAACAGCATGTAGGCATCATCATATTATACGATACCTCACACAGAAGCTATGGGAGGACAATTATTACAGAGCAGCTACACTATGATGAGGTAGTATATATTCATCTGTTATAGGCACTGTAATCTTTTGCTTGAAAATGTGTTTATTATCACAACATAATTCATCTCCCTGCCTTTTCACATCTCCTTCATCTCTCTAACTGCTCCTTTCCAGCCTCCTCCTTTCCTCTCCCTCGCTCTTTCTTTTATTTCTGCCCATGCTCCTCTCTGCCTCTTCCTAATTGCTCCTTACCTTCTTTAACACAATCCCCTTTTCATCTCCCTCTTGTGCCACCCTCTCTTTCTTTCTCTCTGCTTATATCAAATGGATCTTTTCTCTCAATCACAACCTCTTTCAACAACAATCTTTCTTTCCATTCGCCTATCTTTCTCTGTCTTTTCCAAAGGGCTCTCAACTCATGTAAAATAACCTCTCCATCCCTCCCTCCATCCCTCTCTTTTTTCTCTCTGGGCAGTAACAGTCTTGATGCAGTGTTGCATGTCGATGGCTATTGATTTTTTTGCTCTTCGCCTCTCTGTTTCTCTTTGCCCCTCTCTGCACTCTCTGCCAGCACTGCTATGCCAGGCCCACAGTATACTCAACACCACCATGTGTGTGAGTGCGTGCCTGTTGGCTGTGGGGGAGGTGAGGTGTAAGGAGAGAGAAGAAGACTGTTTCACATGCCATAATCACATGTAGAAATTTTGTCTCATATTCTCAAGGTTTAAATGTCATGAATAAACTGTTTCCCATGCAAACACACTTTGCTAATCTGGCACAACCTGCTCTCACCTTGGTGCTCACACCACAACATGAAAGAATCTCTCTCTCTCTCTCTCTCTCTCTCTTTCTCTTTCTCTTTCTCTCATCCTGTTCTCCACAACTTCCTGTCCCACTCCTGTCTTCCCCGGGAACAACCTGTTTCTGGGTGATTCAACTGCCTGGAGAGAAAAAAGCAGCCCGTTCAATGGCGGCTTGATTATACAACACTACATTCCGTCCAAAAGAAAAAAAGAGTTGCAGATGGAGGGCAAGAACAGAGACAGGAAGGAAATGGAGTGGGGTGATGAGGGAGGGAGGGACAACTTTCTTACTGTTTTGATGCCATTTACTATGCCAGTAAATAGGTTAGCTAGCTAGTTAGGTGTTGGAATTTGGCAACACTACCGTGAGATGGATGTTTATTTTTTACTTTTACTTTTCCATTTTTTATAGACAAAACAAAACAATGCAAACAAATTTCTGACAGATCAATTGATGATGGAAATAATCACTAGTTGCCCAGCTCTAGTTTCATTTTCAATAAGCCCCACCCATTTGATTAACAACAGCTTCCCATTCTATACTGCATGTATTTTGGCAGATTTACGACTCCAAATTACCTAAGGTAATAACCTAAGCTTTAACCTAAGGCTACATGTGCCAGGCAAAAAAGCACATGCAGGTCAGAAACTAGAAATAGCAGTGTTCATGTATTTCAGGGTGAGGCTACAGTCTGGTATAATCGTAAAGTATAATAGATAAAAATGCATCACAATCTTTTTTTCCCCCAACAGATCCCAGTTTGGATGCTTACTATACAGAAGACAACGTAGTTAGCTAATGATATGCCCCCTTGGTTTGGAAATAACACTAGGTTACTAAAGTTAACCGGGCATGCTATTCGTTTCTAGCTTATTTCCGTATCATGTTTTTGGTTTTGGTAAAGCTAGAAAGAAAAGACACCACCCTCCAAGCTCTTTATATGAAGTATTAGTCTAACTACAGGCCCAATGCACACCACTTCAACATGTGGAGAAATCCAAAGGTTGACAGGCCTTGAGACAGGAGTTTGCTGTAAAGTATCACATACACTTTTATAACAAAGTTATATTGATGTTTAAAATGCTAAATGTAGCACCTTTTAGAGGACAGAGTGAATCAGTGTGGATACCAAGGCCAAAAGGACAAAGGAGAGGAGAGAGGGGAGAGATGAGAGTACGAGAGGAGAGAGGAAGAAGAGGAACCAAACAAAACACCGATGGACAAAGAAGAAAACCAAAGGGCACACTGGGTTGAGGTTGAAGGAGACAGAGAAAGTCTAATCCAAGGATCTGAATGCTAAAGGGTCTCTTTCCATTCTATCTTCCCTTGTCATTACTTGCTTGAACCAGTCGATGAATGATGATGAGGATGGATTCATTACTGAATATCTAACTAAAGCTTTTTCTGGTGTGGGCAATCACTGCTAAGTGTATGTTGTGAGAGGCCATGTGCATGTGTGAGTGAATTTGTGTGTTGTGGCTTCAGGTTGCTGATGGAAACGAGGTCACAGGAATTATGCACGTGGAATGCCTACCGTCCAACAAAGCCGCAGTGAGTTCACTGATTGTGTTTCCTCTGGTACAAGCTAATCCACAGGTAGCCTGATGGCCACATATCAGTCTACATTCAAGCGCATTGTAACAAACAGCGATCAGGACACATCAACCCTAGTAATTCACACCACACACACCACACACAACACACACACACATCACCAGGGAATCCATATCCAAGGATTTACTTCACAGGACTACGTGGCAGCTGACACACAATTTCTACCAGCTCCCAAAGATTTTTGTTCGGAGCTGAAATCCTGACCGTTGACCTCTCCTGCCCTCTACATGAGCGCGGATTGCACACACTCCGAACACACTTCAAGCGAAGTCGAATACCATTTTCTCAAAACAAAGTAATCCCGATGAACATTTTGTCTAGAAACACACAAGCCACTCCAGGCCGAAACCGTCGCGGGCGCAAGAGCCACATCCATCCTTGGGAACCCGAGCATTGGCCGCGTTTCATTTTAGCCTCCAAGAAGTTATCTGCAGCAACTATCCTGTGGGATGCGTGTGTTCACCCTCTCCAGGGGTTCTCCTGTGTTGCGCACAAGCGAGAGAGTACCCCGCTGCCGTGTTCCTGTTCTGGGACAGAGCAGAAGAACGAGAGAGAAGCAAGAGGCTGCTCCTGGTCCTCCCGGGCTTGGCTATGCCTGCGTGCTCAAATTCTGCGTTAGACATTTTCTGTGCGTGGCCGTATATGCATGGGCTGTCACCCCACAAAGGAAAGAAAGAGCTGGTTCTTAAAAGACGGAGCCACTGTTAACAGTGTACTTGTATGTACACTTACATGTCTGTCACGTTGCGAATTTTCTATGCCATTC